TGCAGGCAAACCCAAGACCCCTCAACTCCATCTCCATTATTGCACAAACTGGAGGCAAACCCAAGACCCCTCAACTCCATCTCCATTATTGACACAATCTGCAGGCAAACCTAAGACCCCTCAACTCCATCTCCATTATTGGCACAATCTGCAGGCAAACCCAAAACCCCTCAACTCCATCTCCATTATTGACACAATCTGCATGCAAACCTAAGACCCCTCAACTCCATCTTTGACACAATCTGCAGGCAAACCTAAGACCCCTCAACTCCATCTCCATTATTGACACAATCTGCAGGCAAACCTATGAACACTCAACTCTTTCTCTACACTATACTAGCTTATCATTAGAAAATTATTCATCATTGTTATGTTATTTGATTACTATAGCTTGACACCATATCTAGGTGTAGCAGCGCAAGTCGATTAAGACTGGGACTGTTTTTCATGCAGAGCTGCAATCTCCACACAACAAGATCTTGACATCAGAAATCTAATAATGTGCATACTAATAATTTCTTCCTATCTGTGTGTACAACACTAGCCATTAGACACATCCTAGAAATTCAATGAATTATTTTACACTTCACCAGCCTGAGGCTAACTGAGGTGAAAACAAATTGGACCAATTTTTAAATGCTGTGTCAAATATTCATTAAATGTATTTGATGACATGTACGCACTTCTAAACATATGACATTTAAAATATGGCTTGTTTATGCAAGCATGGGTTAATTACTTCCACATACTCTTTTTGTACAGATTATGAATTAGTCATAATCTACCCCTGGTATGCAGATTTTTAAATAAGAAAAAGTGCTCAAAACCATGACCACAAGAATGATTCTTTTAATAGATGTAGGTCATAGGCACAAAGGAAGTGATGACAACTTCTTTTGCACTGAAGTAGAAGCTGGCCATGTTCTCTGTCAAAGTTGGGTGCATTGGGCTAGACTTCTGGGTAAGACTTCTTTCTTAACCAAACTTTATCGCCAACAGGGTTGTGTAATTGGCAATAAATCTAGTGGTACATTTACACTACTGAAAGTGTGTGAATTCTGCTGGGGTCTACAGTCGGAAAATGGGGAAGGGATTATTGTATTTATTGAAACAGTCCCTGAGCCACATCATATCCACTTTGTCTTGTTTAGAAAAATATCAAGCTTGTACTATAGTATATAGCTAGTAATATCATAAATAGTTCTCATGATATCTCAAAGTTTTGTTATGATATCTATATGGTGAATAAATCCACCGTAAAATGGGAAATGGTAATATTTACAAATGGGAATTAATCAATTTTTTTTTTAAATGAAATATTGCTTTGATATGGATTTCTATGGAAATTGCTCAGAAACTGCTACATTTTGCATACTTTTAGAAAGTTAATCTTCAAAGAAATATAATTATAACAGACAATAATTGCAACTTAGCATTAAACATACTAAAAATTTCCATTAATTTTTTTTTGTGATAATTTTATTAATGAAAAGGGTAATCCTTCTTCTGTCATAACCATACAGGGATAAAAGTATGCTTTGTGCTATTTAAGTACATAGAACAATAAATAATAGAATACAATTAAGATATTAAGATGATGTCTGGATGCAACTGCTGCTTTTATAACTATATGTCCTTAAAGATAATAATCTAATTGTACAAAAAAGATAATATTCAAAATAAAATCAAAGCACAGTTGAGATTATGCCAAGATTATGAAGATAAAGACCAGGAAACAGCTTTGCATCTCTAAAGAATTTAATCTGAATACATATAGTGGGTTAACAATCACATCCAATTGAACAGAGCTATTTTTGTACTATAATCATATTTATAATATCCTTCCTGTACATATGATGTATTATGACTTATTTATGCTATACATTCAGACATTTCCAAGGATTTAAAAGGCTAAACACTTTATTTTCACAGACTACCTTGAAACAGTCAAAAAAATTATCTATTACACTCATTATTATTATTTTATTATTATCAGTTTTCTTTATTGGTTTACAAGCAGGAGACAGAAACAACAAATTTGTTTCAATGAAAAAGATTCATTTGAAATTATGTGAATGTGTGCTGTATCAAATCTAGTCTGTGTGCCAATACATGTCTAAATGGAGCAAAAATGAATGGAAATATTATATAGATTGATATTATATCCAAGTTTGAAAGCTATTTTTGATCAGAAATTGTTGCAACCATGCACAAAAAGAAACCTCATGACCAGGAACACATTATTGCATTTCTCTGAACCAATGATACATACACTGGCAGGAGAATTAATGTGTTATCAAACAAGTCCTGATGTACATTAAAAAAAGGACCGTTATCACAAAGTTGCATGCAACAACATCTATTTAACACAAACATTTCTGTTGTTCAATCTGCATATTAGTTACAAGAGAAATTAATGGATTTAACACTTTTATCCCACTTCAAGAGGAAAGGCTGCTAACTCTGAATAGCACTGGTAACACCACTAATCAAATGTGATTCTTACTACAGTTTCATCTGTATGTTATCACAGTGAACATTTTAAATCGATATCAGTATTGAATTGAATTTGTGTACAACACAAAGATAGCTATTGTACAGACAAGCACACACTGGATGAAGACATAGCTCAAAGGCATGTCTAGTAATATTCTATACCAGTGAAAGACTTTCCTATTAAAGAATTAATAACAAAAGTCTATTGAGAATGATTAGTTTTCCCAATGCTATCACAGACAAGATACTGATGCAAAAACCACTGAGGAGATTATTAGATATTCTCATTTACCTAGAAGCTACATGTAGCAAAATCATAAATGACTTAAAATGTCATAGTCCCATTCTTAAATAACTAAATAAAAACAGGCAAAAAAAAGCGTCTTTCATATAGAACTTGCCAGTCAACATGTAGAACTGGTTATAAACGCAGTACATTTAAATATTAGAGGAGAAACCTACATGGACATTAAATCTTATCGCAAGAATTATTCACACTTTTGTATTTTGTCTTTACCAAAATCAGAGAAAGTGTATCTGCATAAGTACCCGGACACTGCACATCTGAGAATGTTTGATGACAGTAGAAACAAATATGCATATAAAATCA